GGGTAACTAGAGTAGCCGGGACCCTCACAGCCTGGTGGGCAGTCTGGGTGGGGAAGAAGAGGGAGCCTGGGACCCAGGGCGAGGCAAGGGAAACTGTGAGGCCTCTTCTCCAAGAAGAAGATGCCAGCTCTGCTGACCCTTGGGGGGCTTCGGAGCCTTTGGGGGCTTCATTGTGAGGCTGGGCAGGGCTAAGGTCTGGGCTGTGGAGGCAAACCTGAGAACAGGTGTGTCACCTGCCCCCAGAGTGCCACCTGGTCAAAGGCCAATTCCCTGGAGCTCTCTCTTCTCCTCACTCCTCTATTCATTTCCTGTGGCTGCTGTAACAAATTATGACAAACCTGGGGGCTTAAAACAACAGAAATTTATTCTCTCACAGTTTGGGAGGCCAGAGTCTAAAATTAAGGTGTCCTCAGGGCTGGTTTCTTTCACAGGAAAATTTTGAGGGAGAATCTCTTCATCCTCCCTTGCAGCTTCTGGTGTTGCTGGCAACACTTGGCGCTCCTTAGCTCGTGGCTGCATCACTCCAGTCTCTGCCTCTGTCTTCACACGGCCTTCTCTCTGTGTCTCTGTGTCCTCTCCTCTTCTGGTAAGGACACCAGTCACAGATTTAGGCTCGCCCAAAATCCAAGATGATTTCCTCTTGAGATCCTTAACTAATTGCCTCTGCAAAGACTTATTTCCAAATAAGGTCACATTCTGGGGTCCTGGGTAGACATGCATTTTGGAGGGATGCTATTCAACCCACTACACCCACCAAAAAGTCTGAGGTCATTGATGTCCCTCAAGGTTGAGGTTCTGAAGGTGATGCCCCCGCAGAAGTAGACCCAGGGGCCGGGTTCAAGGCCCTGGCTGGCACTGGAGGCTACTCAGGGGTGTCAAGTGCTCCAGGGAAGTTGCTGCTGCCATCCACAGGGCCACCATTCTGGTCAAGCTTCCAACGTCCCAGTGCAGGAGGCCACCGGGAACAGGGCCTGCAAGGCCCCACTGGCCCCTGCCACCCCAGCTCTGTGGACACGCCTGGTCCCCCCGCGTAAGAAACTGCAGCTGACAGCGGGCAGTGAGGCTGCTACTCCTCAGGCAGGGGCTGCACGGCCACCTTCGATGCCCCATCAAGCTGCAGCTTCCTCACCTTGGGGCTACCGTGCAGCATTTTTATATAAGAAAAAAATAAGGGTGTTAAACTTGAAAAAGAAAAAAAAATATTGGGCAAGTGGCAGGCAGGAGAAACCTGTGGCTCCCTGCAGGGGACACTGCAGTCCCCCAGAGACTGTTGTTGCTGAGGGAGCTGCGGCAGCCATGGAGGAATGAGCGCGAGAGGGAGCGCTCTGAACGCTCCTGGGCACAAAAGTATGAGATTGTGATTTTTAATTTAAGAGCATATAATCAGAAAACACATAAAAATACGTCGTCTGCCTAAATAAGAAACAGGGAACAAAACTAGATGGCGCTCCTCTTGCCTCACAAAGTGTCCTGAAATGCCCTGAGGACCCTCCACTTGGGCACAGCCCGTGTTAAATGACACAGTGGACACCCTGTGGGTGCCTGGTCGCTGAGCAGCCCCAGGCGCCAGGCCCAGAGGCGAGCTGGCCGGGGTCCCTGCAGCAGACCCTCGCCTGCCTCCTGGACCACAGGAGGCTGATGCTTGATGCTGGGGAGACGAAGGACCAGGCGGCCGGGGGAAGCACCACCCCTGGCTCGCTGGGAGAAGCAGAGCTGGAATTGGGACCTGAAAGGAGGAGGGTGGAATTTGCCAGTCTCGGGGGGAGGATGGATGACCCCGGGAGAAAAAAGTCAGGCGAGGTTGGGGCTGGTGGACAGACACAGCATGGATGGAGGGCCTCCTGGATCTGTGGAGGGCACTGAAGAACCACCTCGGGTTGGGGGAAACGCCCACAAGTCAGAAAAACCCTGCTGGCCAGAGGGTGGAACCCGATTGGATGGAAGGGTGTTGCAGGCCGAGACTGGCGGGGGCTCCAGCACTGGTGCAGGTGGGAGGCCGAGGGAGGGGAAGACTGAGTGAGGAGGCCGTCACTGGGTCAGGGACTGCTGGCAGGGGGAGGGGGAGACATAGAGGAGAACACCTTCATTCCCAGCTTGGGCACCCACCAAGGAATACTGGGGGAGCAGGCCGTTAGGGAAACAGGCAAATGATGAGCTTTCTCTGGGAAAAATCAAACAAATCGAACAAAAAAGAATCATTGTGGAAAATGATCAGATGGTGCAACCCTCAGAGTTTGGGAACCGCCCCATCAAAAGGAAAAAAAAATAATGGGAGCTGATAAGAAAGCAGACACTGTCACCCTGGACAATTCCAAACGGGGACCACGGCTGGAGCCCTGGGCCCCGAGATGGACAGTCTGTTGACAAGCCCATGACTGCCCAAGGCCCGCTTCGGACACCGCACACTTCCTACCTATGTGTTCTGGAAGGGTGCAGAGGAAACACCTGCCCCCGAACACGACATCACTAATGCAACAGTCAATATTGGACATAAATCTATTTAGCAGACACTCGCTGTCACCTAGCAACCGGGTCATCAGCAAACTAACTTCACTCCTCCAGCACAACCGAGTGCCCTCTGTGCTCTGACGGAGGTCGACGTCCCCAGTGGGGACTCTACCCTCCTCCCAGACACACTGAGCAACAATAAAACTGCATAACTGAGAACCTGGGCTGTAAGAACCGTGGGTGGAAAGGCTGAGTGCAGAGGCCGAGGGTGGAGGCCACTGCCACGTGGCTCACGCCCTCCTGGATAAGCCACAGTCAGAGCTGTAACAGGATGGAGGCGGGGCAGGCAGGGGCCATATACTTCGGTGCTTATTACTTCTGAGGCAAATATAATTAATTCCCTTTTTATACACTAGGAAACAAAGGCCCAAATTGCCCACTGACAGCCCTGGGGCAGACTAACAAATGGCAGAGCCAGGCTTCAAGCCCAGATCCGACTCAGAGACTCAAAGCCACACCCGCCATCAACAGCATGAAACCTGCACAGCCAGGAATGCACGAAATGCACACACAAATCAGATCATTAAGTTGCAACAATTTCAGGCTTAAAGTGAACGCATGATATGCCATGTAAACTTGACCCGTGTTCACGCACGGGAACAGGAAAGACCTCTATCTTCTGTGTCCTCAGCGCAATACTGTGCAAACAATATCCTGTTACTTACATCAGAACAAAAAGAGGCGGGGAGTTTTAAAGGTAAATTCAAGACAGTGAATGAAGCATCAGTCAACAGGTGTCAAATATGAACATCAGTACAAGGCTCTTACTGAGAGCAACACCCCATCTCCGGGGTTAACTGGATACGTCAGTCCCTCTGCTGACCAACTTGGGTTTCCCCGTAGTTTTCTCTAAGTCTCTGGTGTGCAGCGTGGCTTCACGTAAACACACCACAGCAAGAGCTTGTGCCCAGCGAGGGCTGCCAACAGCTTACCTCTGCGTCTGCGGCCGCCCAGGTGCTGACATCAGGTAAGCCACACGGCGGGAACTGTCTGGGCTCATCTTGCAGACAGACTCACCTACAGAACCAAAGTGACAAGAGACTGGATAACACCGAGGATAAATACTGAGGAATATCTCTAGATGCCTATTTTCCTCAAAATCATAGTCAAAAGGAAGGAAATCAAAATAGCTGTCAGATTAAACATTTCGCTTTCTCACAGCAGCATGATTCTGTAAGACATTCAGGTTTTGGTTTGGTTTTAATTTAGTTCAAAATTTTAAAAACGTGAATACCTTATAATAAATTAAGTCACATGCCGAAGCTATTACTTTCTGTCGAAAGGGCTATTTTTTTTTGGTGAGGAAGATTGGCCCTGAGCTAACATCTGTCCCAGTCTTCCTCTATTTTGTACGGGGGACCACCACAGCATGGCTTGATGAGCAGTGTGGAGGTCCACACCCAGGATCCGAACCAGTGAACCCCAGGCCACCAAAGCTGAGTGCACGAACTTAACCATTATGCCACCAGGCCGGCCCCGGGCTAGTTTTATACATTAGTTGAATCAGCTCTTTCAGCTCTAATGAAATAGATTGTGATATTGTGATTGATAATATATAATTGGTCTTCGTCCCTGTTCCTGGCACAGAGCTCCTAAAACTCTCGTAATTTCCTTTCTAAGAGCTACAGGAACATCTTTTTGATAAAATACTGGTTTTTTTCTCAGTTCCTGAAATATCTCCAGAGCATAAAGGTGAAATGGGTGTCTTGTTACTCATATAAGCCCCTTTCAACCACGCCAATTCGTGCTAAGGAATGACTGGTGGCTGGGGCTCCCGGATACCTGGATGGGGCCTGGTTGCCAGGGGAACCAACTACGTGAGGAGAGGGTTGGAGCTTTCAGCCCCACCCCCAACCTCCAGGGATGCGAGAGGGGCTGGAGGTTGACTTAATCACCAATGGCCAATGATTTAATTAATCGTACCTATATAATGGTGCCTCTATAAATATCCCCTAACTATGGAATTTGAAGAAGTTCCAAGTTGCTGAATGTGAAGATGCTGGGAGGGTGGTACACCTAGAGGGGGCATGGGAAGCTCTGTGCCCCTTCCCGCGTACCCTGCCCTATGCATCTCTCCCATCTGGCTGTTTCTGAGTTATATCCTGTTACAATAACGGATAATCTAGAATCAAATGATTCTCTGAGTTCTGTAAGCTGCTCTAGCAAATTAATCGGACCTGAGGAGGGAGTCTAGGAGGGGAACATGGGAACCTCCGATTTATAGCAGGTAGGTCAGAAGCACAGGTAACAACCGGGACTGGCGATCAGCCTCTGAAGCGGTGAGAGTGGGGGCAGTCTTGTGGGACTAAGCCCTTAACCTGTGGGATCTGATGCCATCTCCAGGCAGACAGAGTCAGAATTGCAGGACACCCAGCAGCAGCCCAAGAATCGCAGAGTTGCTTGGAAAAATCCCCACCCATCTGGTCTCAGAAGTATTGCGAGTCTGTGAGTAAAGCAGAAACAGGGAGTTTTTCCTAGTAATAGACTCCTTAACCTTCCAAAGAAGTGCCTTTATTTATTTACAGGGCTTAGGAAAGGAAAAAAGCTCTAGAAAAAGGAAATTTCAAAACAGGTCTTTGGCAAGGGCTGGGTGCAGTGAGAAGTTCCGGTAGGGTCCCGCCGGAGTCTTCTGCTCTCGCTGGTGGTCACTTCCAGGTGGTGAGGGCGGTTCTCCCCGAGTCTCTCGATCGGCCCCCTTTGGGCCCTAATGACTGGCCCGGACGACTCCTCAGCTCTCGGTCAGCCCCATCACCCTGCGCCAGCTCTTCGTCATACCTAGAAACAGAGAAACATCCCCAGGATTCGGCGGCAGCAGCAACGCCAAGCACGGCCATTGGGCTGTGGTGTGACAAATCCCACATTACCCAGAGAAGCAGCCTGGCCCCCACCCCACAAGCCTCCAGGTGGCATGCCTGCCCACCAGGTGGCCTTGGCAGCCCACCAAACACCACCCCAGACCACAGAGCATGAGTACGACCTTGTTAAATTGTCACTGCAGACAGTCCCCAGCCCCACAGTTGACATTTTATACAGGCCACCAGATGGAAACTGGCAAGGACCCCAAGGGAAACACAAATGAGACACCAGGGTGGGGAGGGAGAGGGCTGATGTCTGGGAATACTTTACCCAGCATCTGTGGGCAGGTATGACTAACCCCACTTCAGACCGGGAATGGGGTGTGAGTGACCTGCCCAGGGCGGGTGAGGCCAGGGGAAGGCGCGGCAGTTCACGCACAAGGTAGGCCAGCGCCAGCCTCACCGGCCATGACCTTTTACCTGCCCCTCCCTGTTAACTCAGGCATCAGGCCTGTGTGGTGCTACACCCACGGCCTGTGTAGGAAATACAGCCTTGGCTTCTGCATCGGAAAGAACTGGCAGGAACCTTGGTGCCCCTGACAGCTATGGCATCTGGGTAGTCCCTGGCCCTTCTCATTGCAGTGGGGCCCCTCCTACAGGGGCGATGGGGTCCCAAGAAGGTGGTGAAATGCCAGAGACCCTGTTGCAAGCCCTGGCCCCGAGCAGGCTCCTACCCTCAGTGACTGCACATCACCCTCCCGACTCAGAACGGTGGGCATTATGATCCCTGCTTCCGATTTGAGGAAACCGGGACTCAGAGAGGTTTACTCAGTGTCCTCAGCTCACACAGCTGGGAGTGGCGGAGGGAGGATTAAAACCTAGGACTTCGGATTCCTAATTCAGAACTCTTTACCGTGCAGATCGGAGGAGCATGAGAAGCGTTTCTGTTCTGTTCAAGTGCATTCATGGGTGTCATTTGCTGACCACACCTGCCTGAGGACCCTCTTTCATCACTGACATTCACATCAGACGCAAAGGCACTAAGATGCTCTGCTATGTGGCATTAGCTGAAGTTTGCTAACTTCTAGAAAAGGGTGTATATTTCTATTACAGGTTTATTCCCAGAATCGGAATCTTTGGGTTGACGGTGGTGTGGGTTGGAAACTTCAGAGGCTGAAGAACAGATTTTCTACATTGTGCTTCTGGTGGTAAACGGGGGACTGAAAGGCAAGGGCAGGGAGGAAGCCGGCTTGCCGACTGTTACCACGTGGCGGACACCACAGGGTTTCCCTCTGCTGGGGTGGGGATGCCAGGGCGACGACATGACAACACGTGGGCCCTCCTCTCCTCCCGGTCTCCCTAAGGAGACACGATGCTGGATGGAGGACCCCAGAGACACTGGAGGTTCTGCCTGTGGGGGGTTCTCCCAGGAACCCCCCCGCCCCTCCCCACCCTCAGAGACTGCTAGAGCCCCCGGACTCCCTGTGCACGTGTTATCATTCTACTGCCTGTTCCGTGTCTGCATCACTGACCGAAGGGCTGAAGCAACCGGCCCCTCAGGTTCACGGTTGCCCCCAGCACCTCACTTGGGGGGGCCGCACAGTGAGAATCTGTTGAACGAGTGGAGGAAGAACCACACATAGGTTACCAGCTCCACTGAGCATTCGTGCTGGTCTGTGCAGCTCAAAGACACAACACAAACAGAAACGGGCATTTGGCAAGCAGCTGCCATCGGGACGGGCTGTTCCCGGGGACGGTCTGGCCACTGACGGCGCTAACGTGGAGGAGAATCAGAGACAGGGCAGCTCTTCTCAGAGCCCTTCCTCGTCCAGCAGGCCTTTCTCCTGGGCTTTTGACAGGCAGGACCCAGTTGCTGTCAGGGTTCAGAACAGGCGTTTTTGGAAGGCTGTACAAGTGCCCCCAGCACCTTGAGAACTGGGCCCTGGAAGGAGGAGACGCAAAGTGCTAGGCCCGTGGTTCAGAGGCCAGGACGGCGATCTGGGGCAGCAGCAAGAGCGCCTATTTCTGGGGTCCAGCACCAGCAGTGTGACCTTGGGCAAGTTAACTCGCGCCCAGCTTCCTGCTCTTCATGCCATACACTCTGAAGGGCTGCTGTGGGCACTCAGTGGAATGCAGACTGCCTGGCAGGGCAGGAGGACAGGGCGGTGCACCAGGACCAACTGCTGCCAGAGGCTACAGCTGGAAGCCAAAAACAGGCCTCTTGACTTGGAGATGATCGGAAGGTCCAGGGGAGCGAGGCCCCAAGCGCTCAGCTTGGCACTGTCCTCCTCACTCACAGGAGCGGGAGACGGTGGCTGAGGGGATTTAGCGGGGCGGGGGTCACCTTTCTGTCTCTTCAACTAAAAGCAGGGAGGCTTCTGACATCTGCATCTTGAACTGGAAATGGAGTGTCGGCCCCATTCCCTGGAGGAGGCCATGGTTGACAGGCGCAAAGGGCCCCACGCACTCCCAGCAGCCCAGCCTCCCCCTGCTCTCACTGGATGAAGAGCCCACCAAGCCCCTCACACTCCTGGCAAGACTCCTTCCTCGCACAGTGCCCTAGCCCTCCTCCACACACACAGCCCACCATCTATCTTAGGGGCCATCAGGACTGAGCCCACGAGGCCCTTCATCGCAGGTGACATCCGTCACCATCATGTCATCCTGCACCTCCCACACTGCCAAGCCCGAGAGGCTCTGGACGTGCCCCAATCTGACCCCCCCCCAAACTCTTCCTCTGTGCCGTTGGAACTCTCCGTCCATCATCAGCAAACTGCCCATGTCCTCCACCTCATCCTGGAACGTCCCCTTCACCTTCCTGCTCTGAAACCTGGCTCTCTCTGAAGACACTGCTTCCCCTGAAGCCCCTCGAGTGGGGCTGTTTTCTCTCCCACCCGTCATGGCCCTGGGCCTGGAGGGGCCCCTCTCTAAAACCTCTCAGCTCCCTCCCAGCCCGGTCAGCAGAATCCACCACCCTTACCCCTCCCTGTGTGGTCACCTCTAATCCTTAGGTCATAGGCCCTAATTCCTTAGGATTCAGGCTCCTGGTTCCCTTTTTTTTTGTGTGTGAGGAAGATCAGCCCTGAGCTATCATCCATGCTAATCCTCCTCTTTTTGCTGAGGAAGACCGGCTCTGAGCTAACATCTATTGCCAATCCTCCTCCTATTTTTTTCCCCAAAGCCCCAGTAGATAGTTGTATGTCACAGCTGCACATCCTTCTAGTTGCTGTATGTGGGACGCGGCCTCAGCATGGCCGGAGAAGCGGTGCGTCGTTGCGCGCCCGGGATCCGAATCCGGGCCACCAGCAGCAGAGCGCACACACTTAACCACTAAGCCATGGGGCCGGCCCCTCCTGGTTCGCTTTTGTTGGCAACTGTGATGACCCAACAGATGAGACCCCAGATTCCCTGACCTATCACCCTGTGCCCTCTGATGACCTTGTCCTTCACCCCAGCTCAGCCCCATTCCCACAGCACCCGACCGTGTCACATTCAGTGACCGCACCCCCGGCGTCACCTCGAGTGTGAACCTCACTCTGACCTCTGCCGCTTCTCTTCCCAGCTCATTCTCTAGTGCTCGACCCCAACAACCCTCACCCACCAGGACCTCCCTCCCTCTCACTGCCTCACCCGCTCACTCCTCTCTCCCTCCATGCCCTTCTGTCTTGCCTTCCTCCTTGCCAGGTAGCCCCCAACCCCAGTCACTTCCATTCCTCTGCCTACTCTGAGCCAGGCCCAGGCAGAGGCAGCTGGACGTGGCTGGAGAAACCATCAACCACGCTGGCTGGTCGCACTTGAAGAGGCCCCTAGCGCTGCCTGGAGGCCGTGCACACTTCCCTTGGGAATTCACCTTGCACCCTCACCATGCCGCACACGCACATCAACACCACCCACAGCGGAAGCGGGCATGGGCCAAGCGTGGGCTCGGGGGCCCAAATCCCCAAGCCAGCAGCGCCTACCACTGTGAGCCTGGCATCTGCGCGTGTGTAAAGTCCACTAACTAGTTCTCCCTTTGTTTTTTTAAAATCTTAAATAAAATGCACATTTTCACTTTGACAGAAGCATGGAACGTGGGTGAAGATAAGGGATGTAGCCCTCCTGCTCCAGTCTGCCCCAGCAGCTCACATGGGCCTGGCACGTGGCAAGTGCTTCGTTAATATTTATTAAGCAAAGGACTAGACAAAGGCCTGGTTTAGCACCCAAACACTTTCTGCTACAACATGATCTGTCCCATAACATCACGAATAAATGAAACACTCAGCCCAAATAAGGAGAGCCCACATATAACTAGAAAATCCAAGTCAGGCCTTGGCAGCCCCTGAAACACACAAGGACAACGTGACAGCCACACACAAACTTACAGAATTTCATAATTGCCAAGAACTTCCTTTGGGGGTGACTTGTTCCATTTACAGTCTGGAATTTCGCCATTCGGGACCGCAATATTGAGGGTGTCATTAATCAGGTTATACTTAAGGATCCGATCGTTGGCAGTGCTGGAGGTGAGAGACGGGGATGCATTAACCTGCGAGAGGAAAGAGACACATCCTTCACCTGGATCACGTACTCCACTGGAATGAAAACACGCACTGCGAAAGAAAATGCTGCCTACCGCTTACTCTAGGTGAAGCTGTCAATTCACACTGTTAATTAACATCTAATACCTTCAGCAAGCACTGTGTGATCTACGTTTATTAGGTGTTAGATCAAATATAAATAATATTTAAAGACAGGATTGAGATTAGGATCTACAAATCAATCATCACATAAACAAAATCTCTGGTCAGTGTACATTGCAAACACAAATTCAGTGTCTCCCAGTGTGAGTAGCTCTGGCCTAAGGACCACAAGCTGCCCAGAGCTTTGTTAGAATCAGTGAACCAAATGGCCCTGATGAGGCAGCATCGTGGGGTTGAAGGAAAAGATAATGGGCCCCTTTTTTGCTAAGACAGTAAGACCTCCCCAGGAAAGCAGTATTTTTTGTTTATTTATTTTTTGCTGAGGAAGACTGGCCCTGACCTAACATCTGTTGCCAATCTTCCTCTTTTTTTGCTTGAGGAAGATTGGCCCTGACCTAACATCTGTGCCCATCTTCCTCTATTTCGTATGTGGGTCGCTGCCACAGCATGGCTGACGAGTAGTATAGGTCTGTGCCTGGGATCCAAACCTGTGAACCCTGGGCCGCCAAAGCGGAGCGAGTGAACTTAACCATTACGCCACAGGGCTGGCCCCAGAAAGCAATGTACTGACCCAAATGAGGAATCCATCCAATAAATGGGAAGTTAGTCCCATAAGGCCCCTGAGGAGCTAAGCGATGTCACCAAATCCACAGGTGACAATGCAGACATTTACGCTGTGGAGAGCCCGCAAGCCCTCCGTCGGCACCGGTTTACTCTTGTTTTTGGCACAGGTGCAGTGACCCTGTGAGCTGTTCTCTAGGCCACAGGAGAGGAGAGGTGGCTCATGTGCAGGCTGCTCAGGTGTCCCCCAAACGGTCAGACTGTGTCCTCGTGCTGCCAGCAGGGACTCTACTGTGAACTGTGATGCGGACAGTATGACCTAAGGTGCCCTTGAAATGACCACTGTGGTATATCGTGACACCATAATTATTCTGAATACGCTAAAACAGGATCTGTTATATGTGAGAACTAATGCTCACAATTAAGATCCTAGCTGATCAAGGAAACCTTGGCTTCTACTCAAGTTACTGTTTAAGATGGAAGAACAGAAAACAAATATTTTCTATAAGTATCTGTAGATCTCTCTCTCTACATATGTACATACATCTACATATGCACTGCACACACACAGCTCTGGCATTTAACAAGTTAGTAACCTGAGAAACACTGTCATGGAGCCCAGCTCGCTCTGGACAACCTGGCTCTCCCAGCAGCTTCCTGAAGGGGTTCCCAGTGACCTTCCCTACAAGGGACCACTCACTACGACTTGCTCTTGAGACTCGGCTTTCCCAGCTTGAACTGGGACCGAGCTAAAGAGCCCAGGCTGTCCACCTCTACTTGAGCGTGGTGAGAAGTCGGTGCTCAGAGGCACACACAGGGAGATGAACCAATGGAATGGACGGCCTTCATTCTTACAGCCCGTCCAACCGTGCGCCCCCTGAGAGCCTGAGCTCCTCTTCCTGGCTGCAGAGCAAAGCCGGGCAACCCCTACAAGGTGGGTTCACAGCCAGGCCTCAGATGGGAGTGCCGGCGCCCACTGCTGCTCAGGCAGTGTCACCCAGCTTGTCACCAGGAAAGGGCTCCTCGCCTTTCTAGAACAGCCACCACTGCATCCCGTCTACGCCTTGAAACAGGCCGACAAATCCACTTCCAAACTATACCTTCATCCAAAGAAGATAAGGTTCCTTATCTCTGGACAGCATGTTACCACGTCCCAAGGGCTTCCGGGTCTGGGAGCTCCTTTCCTGACGGGAACAATGTCCCCCAGGAGGACAGGGCGGGGCCTCTGGAGCACAGACTCGTCGGGAAGCTCCCTGCAGCCCCCCACCCTCATCTGGAAGAGGGAGACGGCTTCCGCTCTGAGGGCTGGGCTCCCCGGAGGGGAGAGACCGGGAGCGTGCTCACTTTTCAACCAGCAGGAACCTCTTATACCTGAACTTCTGTACCGGTTACACGTTAAAAACTCATCTGCCCCAGTCCGGCCGCCCGGCCTGAGAAACATCTGGCTGGGGGCCTGCCGAGCGGGAAGCAGGGCTGAGGCATCGGGAGGCTGTGTGGGGCGACCAGCCCCCGTGTCCGCGCGCACGCGTGCAGTTACCTCAATCAGCCAGGGCTTCAGCTTATCGTCTATGATGATGTCGTAGCCATAGCACTCGAAGCAGTGTTTGTCATTGTTCATCACCGGCTGCAGAGAGAGGGACCAGCGGGTTACACGGCCCAGCCAAGAACTTCTGGGGGACAGCTCAGAGACGCGGGGTGATAAAGCAGGGGGACCCCCTCACAGCTGGGACGGGCCGTGTCTCACTTCTGTGACCCGTGGTTCCCAACCTCCACCCCAACCCTTCCTTCCTTCCTTCCTTTGTTGCTCCTCCAGGGCTCAGAGAGGGAGACTCCTCAGTCCTGGAGAGGGGACGGCTGAAGGAGTCACTGGGTCTCCAGCTGTCATTCTTCAGAGGCTGCAGGACTAACCACAAATGTCTGCACCGGCATGGCACCGTCCTCAGGTGGACAGAAGTCCAGCTCCAAGCCTGGGATCTGGAGGTGAGCCTGTGCAGCCTCACCAGACACAGCCTCACCAGACGCCGTCCAGCAGGCTGTTGGTCCCTTTTCAGGCCCTTACAGACGTGGGGTGCCAGATTACGAACCTCTAGTCTCTGTGACACAATCTATTTACTTAAAATTTTTGGATTCTCTTTTTAATTTTCAATTCCATTTCATAAACTGTTCTCCAAGTGCGTAAAAAGCCCACCAGCCTCTTGCTTACAATGCAGGTTCCCGTGCCCTACCCAGGCTTCCTGATTAAAACCTGCAGAAGGCCCAGCAAGCAGGAGTTTTACATGCTCCCCGGGGGCTCCTGTGCACCCCACAGTGAGTGAAGCACACAGACACCGATGAGGGCTTTTTATGCATTACTGGGCACGTGGACTTGACTTAAAATACTAGACGTAGAACTGGAAACTCCTAAGGGGGAGCTGGCCCAGTCAAGCCTTCTCACTCACTGAGGGGGGAAAAGCCAGGCTGGGGTGGGCTGCTTCACCACGTGATTTATAGAATTGCACTTCCACTAAAAGCCTGGGGTCCTAACCCGGGCCAGTACACACACCACTGTCCCAGAAAGCCTCTGCTGGTCAGGAGGTCACTAACCCTTCTGTCGTTCCCCGAACCCCACTGTCTCCAGCCAGAGGGCTCCCAGCTTCTCCGTCCTGTCCCATGTTCTGGGTCTGCGCCCTCCCACGTGGAGCCCACCTCAGGCATTGCTGCAGCCGCCTGTTCCCCCACCCACCTCTCCTCCAGATGCTCAGAAGGCAACACGCCTGGTAGAAACAGGGTGACTGAACGTTTGCTAAGTGAATAAACACTGAATAAACCAATCTCTGCTTCCAAAACCCTGAGAGCTTTAGAAATCCAGCAGCTTTTCAGCTCCAGAAGCTGGGGCCCAGGAGGAGATGCTCAGAGGCACTTGCCAGAGGATCCAGCTGTGAGACAGGGGAGAGCTGGGGCCAGAATACAGCTTTTCTTGATTAAACAGCCAATTATTTCTCAAAGCTCTGTCAACACAGGAGAGACCAAAGCGGGCTGGAAGGGAGGGGAACGGCTGGGTCAATCAGCCACCAAGATTCCCACAATCATGTGTCAACAGACGGCCGGCATTTACCTCTCCCCACCCTTGAGTTAACCTCCGCAGAGCGTGTTCACACAACAACCCCGGGACCTCGGCGTCAGGATCCCCATCTCACAGAGGAGGCCACCGAGGCTCAGAGAGTGTGCGCACTTGTGCAAAGTCGCCGGTCAGCACATGTTGGGGGGGCTCAGCTTGAAATCTCAGGAGCCCAGAACTCCACGCTCACTCCCCACCATGAACCCCCATAAGCCATCGAGGTAGAAGACGGCCTCCGTGGGTAAGAGACATGAAACGCGGCCCCTAAGACATATCCCCAACAGTTAACCAGATTAATTAGATCTCGGGGTTTTTCCCTTCAAATCCTCCCTATAAACCAAAGCATGCAGAGCTGATGTGGCACTTTGTGACACAGGGAGAGCTTCAACTCGAGACAGGAGACAGGACGCCCGCAGAAGTGTCACCTCCTTCTGACTGTAATTTTCTTTACACGGTTGTCTCGACAAAGCTTTTCACATACATACAGGGGAATCAGTTTAAGTGGGCGTTGTCAAAGGCAATAATGGGAGAGAGGGCCTTAATCTCCACTGAGAAGGTTTCACATAAATATTTCACTCACATCCACCGAGCTGCCAAACCCACATCACAATTTCTCCAGAGCAGCAATTTCACACGTTTTTGATGCCATGGAGCGAAGCTCTTTTCACAGCCCTCAACTCGAGGGTGGGGGACACCTGTCACAGTCTGGCCATGGCTTTTTCTTTTTCGACTTGGTGGTGATTCTTTAAGTTTTTCAAGTTTGATAAAGCACCTTCATTAAAAGAATATGAAGTACCCCCCCACACACACACACTCCACGGGGACATGTCACTGACTCTGCGGGCCCAGGCCATGTGTCCTCAGGTCCTGCCCAGTGGGCCGTCCGTCAGGAGTCCCCTCAGCAGGTCTGGGCCTGACACCTGTCCCTCCACTTCCTCACTCAGGGGCCTGAGCCTCCATGTCGCTTATGAGTCATCGGTGACGAACACCTCAGGGAAGCACCAAGAACGGCGCCTGTGTGCTGGTGTTCCAGCGTTGATTCCCTTCCTTTCCCTCGAAAATAGACGCACGCCTGCTTCAGAACAGGGAAACACACCACAGACATAACTGCAGACCAGCGACAGAGATAAGACTTGAGGCTAAAAGGAAGAAGAGGGAGGGCACCGGTAGCCCGAGATGTTTATGGAACAGCACAGCCGGAAGCCTACAAACAAGGAGGCTGCTGGGAGACCATCTCCAAGACGTCAGCTAACACCAGAACATTCATTATTGATTCAACGGGCACCAAAGAGCTGACGATGACATCAAGAGGCCTCTGCTCCTCTGCAGAGGTTCTGCGGCCGTGGCTGCAGCAGGGGCCCAGCTCCCGGCAACCCTGGGCAGCTCCTGGCTGGAAGCTGGCCTCTCTCCCTTCCCGAAACTGCCTTGGCCTCGGGCATGGAGGAAGTGAGACTGGGAAAACAGGTATTTTTAGCAAAAGAACAACAAGTATCCCAACTCCCTCCACTCATCAGCTTTGTGTTTTCTCCTTCGCTCTCCGCTCACAAGGCGCCCAGCCCTCTCCCCTCCGCGCTCCTGGGACTCACCGCCACGGCCTTCAGCGACTGCACGATGATCCAGTGGATCTCGTCGAACAGCTTGCCGGTCACCTCCCTGCCTCGGGTGCTCTCCAGGTAGAGCCGCAGGTTGTTCACAGTCCACTTGCCGCCGTGGATGTGGTTGTAGTCCTCCTGGTGATGGAAAAGGGGGGGGCCCCCGGGCAATGCACCCCATGCTTGCTCTTTCATCCCTGAACATTTCCCAAGTGCCTCCTCCTGTAGGGCAGGCCCCCGGCAACAAGGCGGATGGGTCCCTGCCCCATGGGGATCCGGGCCTTACCTATATGCGCATGTTTTTACAATACTCAACTCTGTAGGATTCTCATAATTAATAATTTATACTTTGCAGTGCATGCTGGGGAATTCCATCCAGACCCCACTTCAAGACCAAGGCCCTCATTCTTCTAGCCGAGACCCATCCGGGAGATGCCCTTGGCTAAGGGAGCTGCCTAGTCCAAGCTTACACCCTCCCTGGGCAGCCCGCAGCCCATGACGGGCTGATGCCAGGGTATAAGTCTCTGCCTCCATCCAGGATGGCTCTGCAGGGCCCCCCAGCTCAAGAGCACCCTGGTGTCGCCTGGGGCCCCTCCCACAAGTGCATCCCAACCTGACCCTCCCTCTGCCTGGTCCGACCCCCCCTCTCCGTGTTGCTCCTGATATCGAGCCCCGATAAACCTCCTGCACGCTCATCTCTGCCTCCGAGTCTGTGTCCTGGAGAAGCCAAACTGAGACACACCTGTGCCGGGCAGGTAACACCCGCACACCATCCCATCGCTCAGGTAAGAAGACTCGGGCTCAGAGGGGTCACGTCACTTGCCTATCTTTCATCTCGGCTGTGACGGAGCTGGGACCCGAACCCAGGTTGTCTAATGCCAGTTCAGTGCTCTTTCTCTCTCTCTGTCCCTGAACATAATTCTCCACTCACCGCCTCTTTTGGAGTCAAAAAGCTAGACAATACTGAAGTATATTAGGATGGTATGGGACTGGGATTCCATTTTCTCAATATAAAGTTGAGAACTGTGAACCCAAACAAACCAGCCTAACCGCAAACACACACCACGGACTCAAAGCAGACTGTTTCCCTATCAAAACAGAGAATTAACCACATTTTTAAAAAATAGCTTTTCAAGAGATAAATCAAGAGATAAATATCTTTTCAGAGACAAATTCCTTTTACACATCAATTTTTACTAAAATACCTTAAAAATGAGGTGCCCAAGCTTGTTCACCTCAGATGGACTCTCTGACAACTCAGTGTTTATATCCCTGAAAAAGGGACTTAGGAGAAGTTACATGAAAAACCAGACTATCCGCCCAGCAAAACCTTCCTTTTCCCAGTCACAGGTTCTCTTTGCTATCAAGAAAAACTCATGTTTACTTAACAAAAAAGTTCTAGAAGCATCAAGTATATTACACATGTGTAGATACAAAAAGCAAGTAAACGTCTCCTGTTTTTTGGCCTGTGGAACATTATTTTATCAGATTTATTTCAAAACATTTTATCAAATCAATTTGCAAACATCGCACGTTCTGGGAGGCACCCCTGCTCTTTATGTCCCTTTTCTGCCCACTGAAACCTCGTCCTCCGCCTCTGGGAGACCCTCGGCAGTCAGATCCATCCCGCCTCCTGGGGGTCCCACCCCCCGCGGCACCCTCACTGCAGCACTGAGGTCTCTGACCTTTATTACAGTCAGTCCTTTGCTGTCTGCCTCCTCCACTGTCTCTGAGCTTCCTGAGGGCAGGGATGCGTCCTCCCCAGCTCTGCCCCAGAACGTGGGGCCCTCGGTACACGCAGCCCATCGACTGCTCTCCAGCATTTCTGTGTTTTATGCAATTCTCAATTAGAGCCATGTGAAGCTTTCTTTCATTCGCGGTTCAAACTTCAGTTTCTCAGAGTAAGCCCTTTCTTACATCAAACAGCAAAGCGTTTACAAGAAGAACCAACATGGAAAGCTCTGCCGCTTCTACTGCATCGTAGAGACGCCACGCTCAAGTGCTGCCTTCTGCTCTCTCCTTCTGTGGGTTTTCAGAAAAGGGTGTGTTTCTTATTGATGGAAATAGTGACCCAGCTGACTGGTGTCCGGAGAAGGCCCATCAAATGGAACCCTCCCAAGTTCAGTCTGGCACCCTCAGATGAAGGCGGCTTGGCAGGCAACACTCTGCACTGTCCTCAGGGACCTGAGGTGGACTTGAGGGCGGCCGTCACCATTTCCTACCCACGCCTAGACTTCACTAAATGTGCTACTTGGCTACGAAGGGTTTCATGTCACTGCTCAACTTTCTCCAAATGGCTGATAAGTTTCGTGCTGCTTCACCTAAAAGATCATGTTCCCAATTCTTATGAATAAGGTCTTAGCCAGGTCATCCTTTCTCCTCTAACCTTAAACATGACAATGATGCTCTCTCTGTTTGCTCTCAAGAAAACCTGACGGGCAGGTGAACCAGGGTCAGCCTCACACGGAAGACAGTCGTGGCCCTCAGTAAATGGTGGTCACCATCATCTCATGACCAGCAAGGTAAATACCAGACAAGGAGGCCCAGGGAGGCCGGGTGACGTGCCCAAGTCATGTAGAGGGTACGTCATGGATGAGGGACTGAGCCCAGGCTGGTCTGACCAAACCCTTCAGTAGGTTACTCAGAAAAGCTTGTTTTGTATCAATGCTTACCCTCTTTCTACTCAAATTATTAAGAAGACCACGGTATTCAAGGCCTCCATTCAAGCAAGATCCAAATGGAAGTCTTTCACGAAGAAATGAGACCTTCAGAACTTGTCTTGTTAGGACTAGATCAAAGCCCCAAAGCCTGCACAGAACCCACAAACGTCCTGGGTCCCGGCCCTCGCCGGCCTCTCTAGGCAACTCTCACTCCACCGGCCTTGCTCTGGGGGCTCCAGCCACTGGGACCTCCTTCCAGCTCCTGCAATGCTCCTTCCTGCCACAGGGCATTGGCATACACTGTCCCTTCGGCTAAAACGCTCCTTCTCACCTCCATCTGGGTAACTCCTGCTCATACTCCACTCAAACACCACTTCTGCATGGAAGCCTTCTCTGAACTTCTCCGAATGACCCTGTCATTCCATGCTCTTCTGGATCTGCATTCCTAACTTCAGGGCACGCATCTCAGTTGGTGACTATACATTCATCAGTGTGATTATTTGACGAATGGCTTCCCCCCATAGGCTCCAGGCTCCCTGAGAGTAGTGACCATCACGTAGCCCCAGCACTTAGCATGGGACCAACCCAGACAGGCGCTCAGTGAGAATATGTTGAACAATGAATGACTAAGCCTGAATCCTCTCGTGTAGTCCTCCCAACCACCCTATAAGGTCATGATATTATCTCTCTTTACAAATGGAGAAACTGAGGCTCTCAGAGTCAAATTAACTTGCCTAAGGTCACAGAACTAGAAACACAGGGCTTGACCCTGGGGCTTTCCCTGTCCACGTGGCCCCCACCCGTACCCTAAGACTCCACACCTGGTCCTTGGAGCTCCCACTCCTCATCAGGGCCAGGGCATCTTAAATGTCACTCTTGTACCCCCCTGCCCTCTCGTGCAAAAATAGAAAAAGAAAGAAACCCAGAGAATCAGTCCACGTCCTTAAGCTCCAGTGGAAACACTCACCCCGTGTTTCTGAATGGCAACGTTGGTGAGATGAACGAACATGTTGTCCAGCTCGCTGGTGCTCGGGGTGTACTTGACCGTGCAAAAGCGGCAAAACCCAAGTTTATACCTAGGTGGGGATTTAGACTAATTCAACACTCGGAGGAGAAGCATAAAAAATATGTTTGTTCTTTTAAGAGAGCCACTTTCTTTGTTCTAAACTTTTAAAAGCGCTGCTTTTTTATTTTTATTTTTTATGGCTCTTTTTTTATAACAATTTTATTGGGATATAATTCATATACCATATAATTCACCCACCCAAAGTATACAATTCAGTGGTTTTTGGTATATTCACAGAGTTGTGCAACTGTCACCACAATCAATTTTACAACATTTGCATCACCCCCAAGAGAAACCCTGTGACCATCAGCGGTCACTCCCCAGCCCCAGTGCTAGGCAAACACTAAACTACTTTCTGTCTCTAAAGCTTTGCCTATTCTCGGCATTTCATATAAACAGAATGATACCTTCTGTGTCTGGCTTCTTCCACTGAGTACGTCTACAAGGTTAGAGGATCTGCTTTTTTTTTTTTCCTCGGTGAGGAAGACTGGCCCTGGGCTAACATCCATGCCCATCTCCCTCTACTTTATATGGGACGCCTGCCACAGCATGGCTTGACAAGCGGTACACAGGTCTGCACCCGGGATCCGAACCTGCAAACCCTAGGCCGCCAAAGCGGAGCGCGAGAACTTAACCACTACATCGCCAGGCCACCCCCAGAAGACCTGCTTTTTATTTTTAAGATTCACGCTAGCATCAAGGTTACCCGTTCCACTCAACACCACCCTTCGTCAGGTGCTGCGTGTATGGACGGTGTGCTCCACCGACCCTCGTCACGGCGCTGAGGAAGACCAAGTGTTCCATCAAAGCACCGTCTTAGGAACGGAAACAAACGCCAGGCTCTTACATGTAACAGCGCAGCGGGCGGTACGTGGACACCAGAACGTACAAGCGCAGGTCGAACTTCCTCCCACCGATGAGCAGGGGGTTGTTAATGTAGAGAGAGATCACGTAGGCTTCCTTGGTGGACTGGGACACAAACCTGACAGCGTCAGACAAAGTCAAGACCAAAGGTGCGTTTAGTCGGTTGGTGACGAGCTCCCTGCCTCTCGCTAAGTGAGAGGGGCTCACGGGGAGAAAACGCAGGTGAGGCGGCATCCAGGGAGGAGCCCCCACCCTGTGCCAGCAGCTCCTGGGAACCCAGGACGGACTCGTTCCCTGGGCCTGACCCCTGGGGCCAGCACCCACAGTCAGACATAAATGCACTCCACCCGCCACTCTGGGGAGCTCCTCACAGGGCAAGGATCGCAGCCCCTGGGCATCTCTGAGCAGCTGAGGTCCCTGCAGAGGCAGAGCAAGCCTCAGACCAAATCCCCTGGCTGGGTTATCCTCAGTTCCAAGGAGCCCCCAAACCCCGGGGGAGACTCGGCCTGACTGGCGCCTAGTGCTTCTCCTACCGCTGACCGCACACGCTGACCGGCGCTCGGTGTGGATTAATTTGGTCCATCCCCCGGTCCCACCATGAGGGTGGTGCTGTTAGTGTCCCCAGTTTACCCAGACGAGGAATCTGAGCTTACACAACAAAACTTAGACAGCAAGTGTCAGACAAGGATTCAAACCCAGGCACCCGGGCCCACGTCTTTAGCAGGTGCTCCACCGTCTCAGAAATACCAGCACTGGACGGGTCTCACACCAACTTTTGGAACAAAGGGCAGCCCGGGGCCCCCTGCTCCCGTGACCTTACGCTGGTTTACCACTATTTCCCTCTGCCACTCACCTCGGGGGGGTGCTACGGCTATGACGCCATCGTAGCCACAGAGCCTTGCCCTGACACTGTGACGCCTGTGAAAGCACGCGAGGGCCACCCAGCCCCTGGCGGGAAGACTGAGGGATGGCATGCAACTGCCAGCTAGGAGGCACACGGGACGGGCGGTTCCACACTCACGAAGATGTTTTGCTGTCCCGGGACCACTTTTTGATTTGCGAGAGCTTGTTGATCAGGAAGATTCCCTTCCCCTGGGCTTTGCCACAAGGCTTCATGATCCAGGTGCTGGAGGGGCTCTTCCGGAACTCCTCCACGAACAGGTTGTAGTCGGCGGGCAGCATGTAGGTGACCGGAACAAAGTCTGAAAGGCCAAGTAGAGGGGAAAACGGTGAGCCAGCCCAACAGCAGCCACGAACAGAAAAATACGGCCACTGCCTTTTCAGAGGCCTGCTTCATCAGCCCCCGCCCCAGCCCCGCATCTACCAGAGCAAGGACCTCTGCCGCTCAATTCTTGTACAACAAGGTACCTTTTTTTTTTTTTGCTGAGGAAGATTCACCCTGAGCTAACATCTGTGCCAATCTTCCTCCATTCTGTACGTGGGGCACCACCACAGCATGGCTGATGAGTGGTGTATGTCCGTGCCTGGGATCTGAACCGGCAAACCTGGGCTACCAAAGCAGAACGTGTCGAACTTTAATCACTACGCCACAGGGCTGGCCCCCAATAAGGTACCTTTCTTACTTGTATACTAAGCACTTTACAAATCTGCGTCATCTAAACCCCACAGCAACCTGCGGGCCAGGTATTGCTGTCATTCCCATTTATCAGATGAGGACACTGAGGCCCAGAGAGGTGCATTATATAATTTTTCTCAAGTATGTAAAGGGATTCTGAAACTATCCGACAGTCCAGATGGGAATGTCACCAGATGGAAGAGGGACACACCATTCTCCCCGGGTGTCACCAGACACAGTGATGGTTCTTCATGGCAGTTTATAGCTCAGCACGTGTTCCCCCCACACTGAGCACTGAGGACATTCTCTCCCCTACACACAGCACATTCCCACAGCACTCACAGAAACTCAGATTCCAAACCTGAGGGCCCCCCATTCTGGAGACCCTTGGAATGGAGGCGGTGCCCACCACAACTTGCACACACACTTCCACCCAACAAAGCCAACAGTCGCCATCTCAGTGCCTTGTGCCACTGAAGTGAAAAACTCAACTATTTATTTAAAACATGAGGCCAGTGAAAAAGGCACAAACCCAGATAGAGGTATTTTCCGTTTTCATCTTTTTCTGCCAGAGGACTCCCTTCTTTCTCCAGCTCTTTCCTGTATCTTTTAATATTCTTCACCATCAGATCCTTCCGGGTCAGCTCATAGTGGTTCGGAAAATGGTTGACTATTTGATCGTCTGAGAGCCGATAGCCAGCTTCAACACTGAAAACATTTCGGATGGTCTGCACACTCATCCTAAAAGAGAAAGACGTGCAAGAGGAAAGCTCAGACTATGTCCACGGGGTGACAGTTCTCATCAAAGCCCCAGGGAACTCCCAACCAGGAAGCGCGCTCCCTCAGAGCTTACCTGCGCCCCCACCCCAGCGCCTGGCACAGGATGGTGTCCAGCGACCCGCTGTGGCCTGGACTGTTTGAAGCAGTTTTGATTCTGTATCCCGCACGATTTCACTCTCTGGCAGTAGATGCTCAATAAATGTTTATCGATTAATGATACCATTGATTATTGATAAGAAACTAATGAAAGACAGCTTTCTTCCGACTCTGAAGTCAGAAAACTCGTTTATACAATATTTGCACCCAAAGTCAGGAAGGACAAGGATCCCTTAAAACCAAAATCGCAGGGTTACTTCCAGGCCCTGAGTCAGCACTTCACATTCCTGGAGAAACCTCTGACAGGCCAGCTACCCTGGGCTGCATCCCACTGAAATGAGGAGTCGAAAGAGAAACCCTCTAATCCTCTAAGGAGGCCAGTCTCTCTGCCACGGCCGTCCGCCCTCACCAGCCCCACAGAGAGGCGGGGAAGGAGCAGGAAGGATGGAAGGGCTGGCACCAGCAAGGTAGCCACAGAGTCACAAATCAAGGCGGGCTGTCACATGGCCTCTCACTCTGTGGTCCCAGCCCCACTCCCACCCCACCCACCCACCAAAGGGCTTCGTTTGATTCCATGGTCATTAGAATAAAGGGATATTTTTTTTTTTTACTTTTTATTATGGAAAAGCTCAACCATATACAAAAGTAGAGAGAAAAGTGTACCAGAACCCCAATACCCGGCTTCAACAGCTGTCACCACGCAGCCAGTCTTGTCATGTCTGTACCCCACACTCCCCACAGCCCCGGCTTGTTCTCAAGCCATTCCCAGACATTGTATCATTTCATCCAAAAAATTCCTGTAAGGATCTCTGACAGTTAAGGCCTCCTTTTTATATTGTACGATGTCCTACTTCATACTGTCACCACAACTGGAACAAAGCAGCAGTAACTCCTGACTATCATCGAATATTAATCAGAGTTCAAATTTCCCTGACTGACTGATAAATATTTTTTACAGCTTGTGCAAATAAAGGCTGGGCCTCTTGATTAGCTGTTCTCTCTCTCACGTCTCTTTTAATCTATACGTTCTCCCTCCCTTTTTTTTTTTAACATGCAATTTACTCGCTGAAGACCCTGGGTCATCTGTCCCGCAGGTTCTCACAGGTTCTGTATTTAGCATGGTCCCCGGCCCCCGCACTTCCTGTAACCTGGGAGTCAGACCTAGAGGCCGGAGGAGCTGCAGGTCAATTTCTGGGCAAGGCTGTGTCCCGGGTGGCACATCCTGCCACCGGCAGGCACAGGCAGCCCCGGGTCTCAGTCTCCCTTGGGGATGTCAGTGATGGATGAGAAATATAATGCGACCCACAAATGAGAGCCACATAGGTAACTGCGAATTTCCTAGTAGCCACATCAAAAAAAAAAAAAAGTTAAATAGGTGAAAATAATTTTAACAACAGATCTTATTTAATCCAATATGCCCAAAATATCATTTCAACATATAATCAATATAAAAATTAGTGATGAGTAACTTTACATTTGTTTCTTCATGCTAAATCCTCAAAACATGGTGTGTCTTGCACACTTAATAGCACCTCTCCACCTGGAGCAGCACAGAGAAGTGCTCAGGAGCCCGGGGTTAGTGCTCCCACGCCTGACAGGCCTAGACCCTTATTTCGTTAGGGACTGCAAAACGGTCATATTCTTTTCCATTCCTCCTTCATCTATTAGCAGGAATATTTCTACAAGGAGAAATTTCCCTTCATCAACAATTTAGACAACTCAAAAAACAGTTTATACAGGAAAGACTGAATAAAATGCTTCTTTCCCTTTATTTATTTATCAGTTTATCATTAACATACGAGCTGATTCCCTACCATTCTCAGATGTGTGACAAGTTGTGTTCTGGAATTTATCACTGCAAATTAAATTGCCCAAATTAAGACAACCACCATTTTATTCTATCTCCTGGTTTTGTGGCCCTGAATTCGGGCAGGGCTCAGCGAGCATTCTTCTCCTCCACGTGGCGTGACTGAGGTCCCTTCGTGGCATTCAGCTGGCAGATGGGCTGGTCTGGAGGGTCCAAGAACGCTTTGTTCCCATCTGGCACCTTGGCGGGCATGGCTGCAGGGCTGGGCGCAGCCGCATCTGCCTCGCACAGCGCCTACACATGGCAAGACAGGGCCAGGAGAGTTGGGCTCTCACACGGCAGCTCAGAGCTCCTGCAGAGGGCTCCATGGAGGCGCTGGAAGCTGCTGGTTTCTTTTTCTTTTTTTTTTTTTTTGTGACGAAGATCAGCCCTGAGCTAACATCCATGCTAATCCTCCTCTTTTTGCTGAGGAAGACTGGCCCTGGGCTAACATCCATGCCCATCATCCTCCACTTTATACAGGATGCCGCCACAGCATGGCCTGACAAGCGGTGCCTCGGTGCGCGCCCGGGATCCGAACCCAGGCCACCAGCAGTGGAGCGCACGCACTTAACTGCTACGCCACGGGGCCGACCCCCTGAAGCTGCTGGTTTCTTAAGGCCTGGGCCACACACCTATAACTGTCACCGTATTCCACTGGTCAAAGCAGTCCCAGAGGCACCCAAATTCAAGAGGAGGGAACAAAGACCCCACCTCTAGAGGGGAGGAGTGTTAAAAACTGTGGCCATTTTAATGTGCCACAAATTGTGAGTGGGTTTTCTTTTGTTTTTTGGCATTTTTATGAACTCATAGATTCAAACATATTGGGTAAGTTTCAATCTGTTGCAATTATTCCTATTGAAGCTCAAACTGCCTCCATCTGGGGCAGAAGGAGCTCTCCAAGTCGTCTCCTGAGGCGTATTAAGGTGACTCCAGCAGTCCTCGACGACACCCTTGCTCTCACGAGGTGCTCCAAGCTCACCCTGTGCGTATTCTTTCTTTCTGAGGCCTGGCATCCATCATTTCTCCAAGAAGCAAAGGACCCTCTATTTTATTTTATTTTTTTTTGCTGGGAAAGATTCGCCCTGAGCTAACATCTGTTGCCAATCTTCCTTTCTCTTTTTTTTCCCCCGCTCCCAAAGCCCCAGTACATAGTTGTATATTCTAGTTGTAGGTCCTTCCAATTCTTCTACGTGAGCTGCCGCCACTGCATGACTACCGACAGACGAGTGGTGTGGTTCTGCACCCGGGAACCAAACCGGGCCGCCGAAGCGGAGCGTGCTGAACTTTAACCACTAGGCCATAAGGGCTGGCTCACAAAGGACCCTTTTAACAGATAAACATTCACCTACCGATGGTAAAATAGTCCTAATTCTCCACCCTTCTTGTTTCTTTATCCTGTGTCATTTTGCAGCAACTCCCACCAGGAGGTAAAATCTATTTCCCCTTGAACTGGGGCTGACCTAATGCCTTGCTTGGGCCAAAAAGAATGTGGCAGAAGTGATGAGGGCCACTTCTGAGCCTAGCCCTGAAAGGCCTTGGGGGCTCCCACCCTCCCTCTTGGACCCTGCCACCACCACAGCCAAGCCCAGGCCACCCGGCGGGAGGGATGGGAGAGATCTGTGGAGAGAAGCCTCTGTCATCCCAGCCAATGGCATCCTAGACCAGCCAAGGCCCGGCTGACCCGCCAAGTGACAGTAGATGCCTCCGTGAGCCCGGGCAGGGTCAGCTAAGTCCTGCCAGACCAGAAAAACCACCACCCAAACCACTAAAACCACTCATAAAACACAGTTGTGGTCTGAAGCCCCTAAGTTCTGTGGTGTTCCGTACTCACCATTATTTTAGCAACAGATAACTAAGACACCCACTTGAGCACAGCCATTGTTCTCATGTTTCACGTAGCTTCTACCTCCTGCCCAGATGCAGGCTGTTTATGCATAGAATTCTTGCACAGAATACAAATTCAATTTCATAACCTGCTTTCCTTCATACTTACTGTTATGCAATTTTCCAAATTGCTTTATAATTATCATAATTATTTTAATGGCTGCATCAGTCATGTATTTACCTCTCCCCAACTGTTGAACACTTAGTTGTTTCCAGTATTTTACCCTAACCAATTTTTTAAGACCTGACAGTAACATTTAGTGCTTAAAACAGGAGCTCTTAAGATATTAAATATCCAAAGTTATTATACTGTTTCTCTCTTTTCTTCTCTCTCTCATTCTCTCTCTCTCTCTTTTTCGTTAATAGCTCCAAAATGCTTCTTATTTGGCATGAAGAAGAGGGCACTCAACTGCCTCCCCAAGCACTGATCACCTACTCAGAGAAGCCAAAGGAACTGAGTACCTGCTGAGCCCGTGGCATAGAGCCGTGGGACACAGAAGTGATAAGTACAAAACACCGTCTTATTCAGCCATTTCTTTCAGAGCTCCTACGAAACAGGGCTCTGGATAAATTACTTCATTTGACCTTTGAGAAGTAAGAACATAAACTCAACACCAAACCATACACAGGTGCTGAATTACTCCATAAACGCTCTCCCCACCTGTATTCCTGCTCCTGGAGGGAAATCAGGTGTGGTTTAAGGCAGGGAACTCTAACTGCCATTAGGAGCAAAGCAAGGGTCGTCCCTCCGTTCGCTGCTGGAGATGGAAGCCAGGTGCTGCCTATGCTGTGCCCGGGCTGTGCCAGGCTCTGGGGATGCTGAGATAAGCCAGGCAGGCCCTCACTCTCAAGGGGTTCACAGGAACATGTAAAGAGGGACAGGTGGCGAAATCACACATTGCACACCCAGCATCTGCTGCCTGGCACCTGAATAAAGCAGTCCGGGAGCCTGCGAGAGGCAGAGGTGGCCTCCAGGGCAGGCAGCACGTGTGCTGGCGCACAAAGGACGGCGACGGCACATGCTCACCGAGCACCCACCACGTGCCAGGCACTGCTCCAGGCTCTGTGCTGTACTGACTCATTTCAAACTCAAACAACCGTATTTGCAAAGAGAGGTCAAGTCCTTTGCTAATGGCCACACAGACAGCAGTGGAGGAGCCAGGGTGTGACACCAAGCACGACTCTGGCTCCAGGGTCTGGACGTCTAACCCCTAGATGCCCTGCGTCCCCGAAGGATGGGCTGGGAGGGGCAGAAAACACAGCATGTACAGAGGTGCAGAAGCAAGAATGTCTCAGTAGATGGACAGGGAGGAACGCGCAGCCTGCCCAGCGGGGAGTGGAGGCGAAGGGAAGGGGCTGGAGAGGCCCTAACATCTCACAAGGCAGCGGCAGGGAGAGTGAGTCTTGGCGGGTGGGGGAGGCTGTAGGGTGAAAAAGCCCCCGGAGGCCCTGATGTGCCCCCCCACCAGCTCCCCGCCCCCTCAAAGATCCACTGCAAGGCTCTGGGCCCAGGAGCCGCAGAGGGTCGGGGATGGCAGAGGCAGTGACCGGATTTATGTTTTGGCACGTAATCTTGCCAGAGGGTGGAGGCTGCTTCAGAGGCTATGACTGTCACCCCTGAGGGAGGGAGCAGCCAGGCCTGGAGCAGGAGGACACAGGACCTCAACCCGATGAAGGGGGGAGGTGAGTTGACTCCCACGTTCCTGGCTGGGTGGAGTCAAGGCCAAAACACTGCTTTTCTTTTCCTCATCTCACTCACTTTCCAGTTTTTTTTTTCCGAGGAAGGTTCGCCCTGAGCTAACATCTGTTGCCAATCTTCCCCTATTTTGTATGCAAGCTACTGCCACAGCATGGCCACCCATTGGTGTAGGTCCACGCCTGGGAACTGAACCCAGGCTGCCAAAGAGGAGCATGCTGAACTTAACCACTAGGCCACGGGGCTGGCCCTCTAGTTGTTTTTTAATCAGCCTAACTGGCACCCTCTCGGCATACAAGAGGGAAGCGAAAGGAAGCACAGAGCCCTCTCCCACAGTCCGCTTTCCAACAGGGCACTGACGGTGATGAACACTAACCAAGGGGGATGGGGCTCCAGCTGCTCCCCCAAATTCCCACAGTGTCATCCACACTCGGCTGTGCTGAAACATCCCTGGACGTCTCAACCCAGGCTGGTAAACAGGATGCAGGAACACGCCACAATGTATACGAACCGAGCACTTTCTCGACGTGTGCTCATAAAGTGCCCTGGGATGAAAAATGTGTCATGGGACACACGAAGGCCTGGAGACCCCCACCTACCCCTGAGAACGCAGGCCTCCACAGGTGCCATCCATGCTCTGGGGCTAGAATTAATAACCCCGACAAACAGGCCTCAGGAAACCCATCCAATCCTGCCCTTCCTACTCACCAGTAGAAGTTCCAGTCCTCGCTGTCTGTCACCTGGACCCATCCTCTCTTCTCAAAGTTATTAATCAGCACCGACTTCTCGATATCAGTGACCCACTTCACTTTTCCTGCCATAGTCCTGGAAGAGATCAGCTTAGCAGAGCTTTGAAACTTCAACAACTGACTCCCCCTCTCCCAAAGGAACCCTGACCACACCGGGTGGAGCTCACCCCGAGCTCAACGCCCCCCACCCAGTGGTTCTCAGCCGGGGGCAAGTCCGCCCCCCGGGGACACTGGCACCGTCTGCAGACACTTTGCTTGTCACCACCAGGGGTCAGGGATGCTTCTGGCACCCGGTGTGCAGAGGCCAGGGAAGCCGCTCAACACCTTACAACGTGCAGGGCGGCCCCCCACGACAAACCATCCAGCCCAAAATGTCAATTGTGCCAAGACTGAGAAATCCCGGTGGAGTGGGAGAAAAAGGCGGGAATTAAATAATCCCCAACTACCGTTCACTCGCAACTGTGACAGGAGCCACAAGGGGAGGCGCCTGGCGCTCTGACAGCTGGGGACAGGAGGACCAGCCCTCCAGGGCAGCTGGGGAAGGCACCCTGGGCAGGGGACCCTGGAGATGACCTCCGCTGGGTGGCCTGACCCTCACCTGCCTCTCCAGGTACACCTTAATGCCACCTTCTCCTTCACCCGCTCTGTGCTTGCCACATTGGACTTCTCTGCTCTCTTCCCCCTCAGGGCCTCGGCACACGCTGGGTGTCTCTGCCTGCAGCTCTCCCCGCTCCCTCGCTGCCCGGCTGAGCTACCTCCCATTCATCTGCCAGCATAAGTAATGTCACCTCTTCCACAAAGCCTGCTTGGCTCTCCAGACCAGGGACAAGGCTCCTCGGCACCCCTGCCCTTCTGCCCCTGCTGGAGAGCAGGGAGTTGGCTTTCTTCTTCCCTGCTCTGTGCCCAGGCCCAGCAGCATGCCTGGCACACAGCAGGTGCTCCACTCAGATAGAATGACTGTGGTCCCAGGCCCGGCAGCACCACTGTGTGACTTTGAGAAAGTTATTCGACCTCTCTGGACCTTAGTTTCCTGCTATGAAAAGTGTGGTTTTCAAATGGCTCGGGCAGCCCAGGATCCCAGGTTCCCACCCCAGCTCCAGCCAGAGAAGGTTACGATGTTACACTTCTGCATACAATTTCATCTGAAGAAGGGTTGCGTGCAAAACCAGGCTTGAAAGCCAGATTTGCGGGCCTTTTATGAATGGAGGCACCTCCTCCATGGATTGCGATAGCTTTGTTTCGGGGGCAACTTGATAGGGCAGAAAAGGCATGGGCTATGGGGATGGGGGCCCAGGCACACCTGCCTCAGGAGAGGGAGGGAGAAGGCACTCCAGTGGCAGAATCCACCAGGTGGAGCCCAGGGTGCTTCCACAGGTCAGCGCACTCCCTCCTCAGCCCCTCCCGCCCCCAGCAAGGCTGGTAGTGTCACAGAGGTGGGACTGTGCTAGTACAGGCTCCAGAGCTGGGGTCCGAGGCCCAGCTCCACCTCTCACAGCTGTGTGACTCTGGGCAAGTTATTTAACCTCTCTGAACTTTCGTTTCCTCACTTGCAAAATGGGGAGAACAACAGTATCTATCCATTCTGTGGGGTTATGGTGAGGATTAAGTGGGTGAACCATGCCCGGCACAGAAAGCACTCCAGCAGTCTCTGACATCATCATCATCATCCCCATTGTGCGGATGAGGAAGCTGAGGCTCAAAGGTTAGGAGCCTGTGTGAGAACCAGACGGAGGAGTCAGGGTGCCTGGATTCAAACCCAGGGCGACCCTACTCTAAAGTCCCACCCCTTTCCAGACAGCCCATTGCTTCCCTCCCTGTGCTTGGCCTCCATCAGGAGGGTGACACAGCCCACAGGGTCAAGGTGAGGAGCAAATGGAATCGCTCTCTGTGAACTATGAGGAGCCCAGTGACAGCCACGTAAGGTCATGAATGGACCAGTCGTGACCCGCGTGGAGAGTCAGCACCCCGACACGGGAATGAGGGCAGAAGCCCCGCAGGAGCAGGAGCCCCACGTGCAGGCAACACGCACCCCAGCACGGGAGCGAACCCCACGTGCCTGGTACCCGTGTGCACGGGTCACCGCCGAGCCAAGGGGAGTGACTGTTCCTCTCTGACTTCAGCCCCCACAGCCCTGCGTCCCTGATGAATCCTGCTCGTGCTCTGCCCCCTAGAGGCCAACTACAGACTCAGGATTCGGGCAGGAACCACCCCCTGCCAGGCGACGCCCACACCACCACCCCAGCCACACTACTCACACGCTGCTCTTAAGACACACATCTTACCGGGCGACCCCACGCCGCCCACTGACCCCCTGGGGACGACAGCAGGAGTCACAGCAACAACGTAAAATAATGAAGGCAGGACCTTACACCTGAACTGTGCTTAATGGTCATAAACGCTTCCAGGGGTGTGACCAAACCCAGTAGGGCAGATGGAGCAAAGACTCTCCTCCTCACTTTACTGAGCAGGAAACGGAGCCCCCGAGAGGTGAGGTTTTCTTCCCGGCCCCCTGCTCCCTCTTCCACCGCGTGGACAAATGGTCACTGAGGAAACATCTCAGCTGGACCTACCATAGGTACTTATGCAGCCAGCAGAACGTCCAATTTCTCTTCAGTCTCACTGACTCCTGCCTTGGGTTCTTCCCTAAAATAAAATTAATACACAGATGAAATGCACACAGCACAAGATCAAGAGACACTCTTGAATACAGCAAAACCGTGACTGGCCAGAGGATTCGGTGGATGGGGTCTTTTGTCTAACAGCGCACCAGAAGATGCCTTTAGGTTCTCCTCTGGTTGTGATAAATAATTCTGAACTCTATTACTTATTAACTCCCGCTGACCTTTTCGAGCTGCCATGCCACCCCTTCGCTTCACGCACCACTTGCTTTGGCAAAATGAGACCACCTCTTTGCTGTTCCATGCACACATGCAACCCTCTCCCAACCGCCCGCCTGTGCTCCCGCTGTTCCCTCCATCTGAATGGCCTTTCTCACCGCTGCTCATCCAACTCCACCATCACGTGAGCGAGGCACAGTCCAAAGGCCGCTTCCCCCAGGGAGCCATTCTCATCCCTTCGCTGAAATGAATCTTTCCCTCCTCCAAACCCTGTCTACCTCTCCTGCCGTCTTCGCTGGCACTCAGAACTTCCCACCTTGCACTTTAGTTCTTTGTGTACGTTCCTTCTATAAATGCGTGAGGGCAGGGACTCTCTCAGTCACCTGTTTCCCTCTCATCCCACTGACTCTAGATTTTATTTTTCTTCCCAAAGCCCCAGTGCATGGTCGTATATCCTAGTCGTAAGTCTTCCCAGTTCTTCCGTGTGAGCTGTCGCCACAGCCTGGCAACTGACAGACGGGTAGTGCGGTTCCGCAAACAGGAAATGAATCTGGGCCGCTGAAGCGGTGGGAGCACCAAACTTTAACCACTAAACCATCCGGGCTGGCTATGATTCTAGATTTAAGTGTGAGCATTTTCAGCAAAGCTCACACCATTTGCCTGCCCTATGATCTCCAGCACCGAGCCCACTGGCTCACGAGAGGCAAACAGTAGCCACTCACTGCGCGAGCGTGAGTGAGCAGACAAATCCTCGAGGGTCAGCCCTCTGAACCTGACTCTTCGCTTTCAACAGTGGCTTCCCTGGAAATGTTAGGGGTTGAACTGTGTCCCCAAAAGAGATATGTTGAAGTCCTAACCCTGGAACCTGTAAATGTGACCTCATTCGGAAGTAGGCTCTTTGTGGTTAAGTTGAGGCCGTTCGGGTGGGCCCTAATCCAGTGACAGATGTCTTCATAAGAAGGAAACGTGGACACAGCCACACAGGCAGAGAACACCCTGTGAAGACACAGACACGCACAGTCTCAGAGGGAAGATGGCCATGTGAAGATGGAGGCAGAGAGCAGTGACGCTGCCACCAACCAAGAAATGCTGGGGCCACCAACCAAGAAATGCCGGGGCCACCAGCAGCGGGAGAGGGAGGACTCCTCCCCTGGACGCTTCAGAGGGAGCGTGGCCCTGCCAGCACCTTCATTTCAGACTCTGGCCTCACTGAGCCACCAGACTGGGGTACTTGTCCCCGCAGCCCTAGGAAACTGACACGAGATGTAACCATCCTAAACACTAGGAAAAAGAAGAAGGAGGAATTCGTGCCTATAATGAGTTTTAAACATATACGTGGGAGACAGAGCACAGTAAAGCGATGAACAAAAAAAAAAAGACAGTCATTTATGGTTTAAAAAAAAGGAAAGGAAGACATGAACTAAGGCCGCCTCTCCTTTAAAGAGACCAAATCACGGGGAAAGCACCCCCGAGAACCGATGACAAGGCAGCCTCGGGAAGAGCCAGAGCAGGCACAGTGGCTTCCCCCACACCGACGCCTGGAGGACCCGGTGCATTTCCAGTGCTGACAGGTCCGAGCCATGAATACCAGCAAGTTCTGTCGGGGCCTCAGCCTCCCCAATCACACAGATGGGGATGAGAGCAACAGCTCCTTCGCAGAGTTGCTGGATTTACTGCGAGGTGGTGCAGGCGTGACCTGGCACACAGCAGGTCCTCCAAATAGGGAACTGGGTGTGAAACAAGTGCACGGGGCAGAAAGCACTGCACCGTGAAGCCTTCCTTGATTCAGCTCCGCACACCCCTCCATTCCAGCCCCTCTTACAGCGGGCCTGCCCTCACGGAGGAAGTAATTACATGTTTATATCTTCATTAAACCAACAGCTACCACTTAGCACCAGGACGTGTCGGGCACTGGGTTGGGCAGTTTGTGCACATCCTTCTCTATTATGTGTATTATTATGGTTCACAGGACGCCATGGGGCAGGTATTCTCCCCATTCATGGAAGGGGAAAGTGAGGCTCAGAGACTAACAGGTTGCAACCTGGTGACAACCTATACCGCCTCCCTCCCACACCGTGTGTCAACTGTCAGTGTACATGTGTCTCCCACATCAGACTCCGATCTCCTGCAGGGCAGGGTGTGGGCTGACTCGTCCCTGTCCCCTAGCACCCAGCCAGGGCCAGTACAGAAGGGGGCTCAGAAATCATCTGCGGAACAGATAAACGGACTGGCTGGGCAATCCCCATAGTATAGAAACCAGGGCTGACTCCTTTCCAACTCTAAGAAATACTAAGCCCTTTTCCTTAGGAAAGTAAATAAATAGATACCTGATGACAGATTGTTTTCCTGTCACCTCCTCCTAAAATAGAAAAAAAAAGTGAGGTTAATGGTACCAGGTAATGAACTTGAAATGTTACATCTCTACTGGTTCACAGGAACTGATAGATCTGAATTTTAAGCCATCTGGTCAGCTACTTTCAAAACTGAGAATCAGAAAAACTAACCAGGAAAAACAGAGTGATGTGCTGATCTTTATGCTGATCACAGCTTGAAATGGCAGTGGGCTGTCACCACCTGAGGTATGTCAGCCACGGAAAGCCATCCTGAAACCAGACAGTTGCTGGTTATTTTCAGAACACAACGTGGGTCCCATTCCTGGGGCAAGTGGGCAGGATCTTCACAAGCTTGAGAACAAGTTTCCACAGGGGCGGCCCTGGGCATCTGGGCCATCTGTGGTTTATCTTCTATTCATCCACTCAACACTGACAGACACCCTGTGCCAGGCCCACGACAGGAGACACAGAGCTGCCTGGGACGAGGCGCTCTTAGACAGTCCAGATCCAGGGGAGGCAAGAGACACAGTCAACAAGTTTTATGCCCCAGCAGCAAAGGGCTTTCACAACCCCACAAAGTTCAACTGTGGCCCTGAGGAGGAAGTGACTATCAATTCAATCCAGCACCAAATCATGGCAGCTCCACTCCAGAAGATTCCAGATCCATCTGTGCAATCCTGGACGACTGCAGCAGGCCCAGACTGGTTTCCTTGGTGCCATCCTCACCCCACTGCAACCCATGCTCCACCCAGTAGAGGACTGCACTTTTTACACACACAGAGCAAATCACGTCACTCTGCTCATAGCCTCCAGTAGCTTCCCACTGCACTCAGGACAAAACCAGCAGTCCGCCCACGGCCTACAAGGCCGCCCTGCATGATCTGGGCCCCTCATCACCTCTGGGGCTTGTCTCCCAGCATCCTCCCCACCCAGCACCCCTCTCCAGCCCCTGGCCTTTCGGCTCCTCACACCCACTGAGCTGCACCCTGTCTTAAGGCTTTGCTCTTCCCTCACATGTGGCCCCTTCTCAAAGGTCAACTCCTCAGAGTGGCTTTCCAGTCTCCACCTCAATCCTCCCCACCTACCACACTGTCAGGTTCCTTCTCTGCAACACTCACGCCCTACACAATCGCTCAGTCCAGCAGCAACTCAAAGCACAGCCATGAACCTGCAGCATTGCATCACCTGGAGGATGTTAGAAACGCAAATTCCTGAGCCCCCCACCCCCACCCCATGATGTACTGTTTCAGACTCTTCGGGAGTGGGGCCCAGGAATCTGCGTCTTAATGAGCTCTCGGGTGATTCTTCCGCATGCTCAAGTTTCAAAAGAACTGGTCTCGTTCACATGTTTGGTTCCTTGGTGATTACCTGCCTTCAACACGGATATGTCACATCACGAGAGCAGAAATGTTGTTCCACTTTATCTCCTGCTGAATCCTCAGCACCCTGATTGGTGTCTAGTAAGAGCAGGCGCTCAATCAATATTGATGAATTAACAAAAATAAACACATGAACTCCCTCCACACACAATCCAACAAGTGCTGCTCGTGCCAAGCAGTGAATGAGGCACGGCCCAGCCCTCAAGTGGCTGCCGGGAGGACAGAACTCCACCAGGAAGCCTTTCACCTTCTGGAGTTACTACTCTCAGACCAAAGCCAGGACGGCCCTTCAGGAGAGACAGCAAGCGGAGGAGTCATTCCACACTTCTGGGTGCAGCCATCAGGACACAGAACCCTCTCTGCCCCGCCCCCACTACCCCGGACACTTCGATCGCTACAGTTTCCACGAAGTCCCCGCTAGGCCAGGACTCTACGGCATCCGAATTCCTTTCCAGCTAATATTCTTTGAAAAGGAAAAAAGAGCCATCTTTAAATAAAATAATAAATAATATAAACGACGACTTCACTTCGGCACATGCATTCGTTGGCAGCTGTCTTGCCAATGTCCACCTCCGATTCCCGCTGGGTGACGGCGCCATGCTCCCCGCCACTGTTCACCAGTGCTTCTAACTCCTTGAGTGCAGAGCTGGGCCTATCTTTTGTACTGCCATAACCCAGCTCTGAAATGTGCTCATTAAATGTTTCCTGAGCAAAGAATGCTTTGCAAACCCCAAATGGCTTACAACGATAAGATACTTTTACTTCTGGAATGTATCCCCTCTACCGCCCCAGCTACTCTATAGAGTGGAGGACTGTCTCCGCCCCCCACCCCAACTGATGGGGAAAAGGGAGGGGAAATGCCTGGGTCCGGCACCCCAGAGAGAGGCGAGCAGGGCGGGGAACACATATCTCCAGTCTCCTGCCCAGAGCTCTAGCCACAGGTACACTGCACCCTGCAAGATGCCAACAGAAACAGCACAGATTGCAAATGAATGAAAAAGCCTAAGAACAATGAAATTCTGGGATAGCCAACAATAAGAAGAATGCAATTACAACGATCGGGCGGCACAAGGTAAGTCATAGAAACT